TATACGCATTAGATAAAATTCAGTAATAGACGCGGGCCACTATAAGGTTACATAGAAATGTACAGAGGCCCCTAACCTTAGTACAATGGTTAACCGGCAATTACAGAGTGCTGTCAATCCAGCCTGAATGAAGCCTGTCGGCACGCGCTACCACACTCTTCAAACGGCCGACGACGTTACTTCCTAGTCGGAAGTTCAGATACACCTGCCGGCGCAGTTTAATCATATCACGCCGTCGCTATACTACTGTTAGTATCTACGGTGGTCAGCACTCGCCATCAACGACACGCGCGCACACACGCGCGCACGCGATCAGAACGCTTGGTCCGTATTCACGATGACACGTGCTCTCACTTCTTGCATCGTTCATGATAACGGTAGTAGTACGTTATTTTGCGGTAAGCCGATTAAAAGTGAACCGCGGCGAGAGCGTGTAACCCAGCCATGGCATGTAGCCAGTGTGTGAAACAGTGCATGAGTGAACATTTCTTCATACGATGCCTTCAGCGAAGTGTACGAATAGAAGATGAGTAGGAATCATGATGCATGTGCGCGAGGAAAGCTGTCGGAGAACGTAATCTTTACGCTTTTTGGATATTGGTAGCATAGAAATTCTACGATAATGAACAGACGAACGTAGAAGAATAAAGAGTGAGGAAAGAACGAATGTCTGAGTGAGCTGAATGAATGAATGAAAGGAGAGTGGGGGAACGCAAGAATCCAAATGAGTGAAGTAATGAATGACCGGCGTGGAGCAAAAGAATATGAATGAAATAATTGAAATCGAATAAAGGAAAGAGTGGATCGAACAACGAACTTAAGGAACCCATAATAGTTTTATCATTCATTATTAGAAAGATCACTTAATTATTGCTGTGAAAACGCGATGATCTTACCATTTACAGGCGTCTCATGCATTCGCGGCTCATTGGAAATCCCTAAATATGATTACAGGTTAGACAAGTCCAGTAAACCTGGTAATCCCTGGCGTCTTGGTAATAAACGCTGGCATCGAACTATAATTACTGAATATCAACTCTTCATATTTCTCAAACTTCATTTCAATCGTACCTGCCCACAGATATTTCTTACCTTTAACCAAATATATCGTTGATGCGTTAGTTAAGTTAATTTAGCTTAGCCATTGATAGTGCAGCAATTTGTATCTTCTAGTAACAGTTGTTTTTTTATGTTCATGTTACATCACGGGAAATTTACCCCCACCCACTCACCCAAACACCCTAGCAAGATCTAGACATGCGGGCAAACTAATATTGAGCAGGTTCTCTGACCCATAAAGTCACCATTATTCATTGCTGTGAAACCGCCGATATCTTACATTTACATGCCTATCATGCCATTCCGGTCATGAAATCCCTAAATATATTGACAGGTGACAGTCAGGTAAACTGTTAATTTCTGGTATAGATGCGGAAATTACCCCACCCACACCCAACCACCCTAGCAAACTAGTTGCTGCAAAAACTAATATGGCGAGTTTACTGAACACTTAATTAACAGTTCGATGACTTTGTTATGCAAACCTGTAGGTAGTTTATAGTTTACCTTTAACTGATTTATAGCCGTTCGCGCACCTGAAAGAAGTAACCGGGCTTAATCGTACGCGTACATCAAGGAAAGATACGCGGTATTTAATGATATAGACGTATCTGCAGCGAGTCGTTCACATGATCAAGCAAAGACAGAGAAATTCGAACAATTATCTTTACAGAAAAGTGATTCTTCGATTGAACATAGTAATTCACTATACTAACTACTAAATTTATCGCGGCTCCCTCATTTTCTTTGTTCATTCTTATGATATATAACTTATATACAATATGTGATACCGCGCGCGCGTGTGCGTGTATTTACGCCTAGACGCATGTAGGGAACTACCTTGCCATGAATATTTTATAACTAACGTTGCAGTCATTATAAACATCAATGCAAGGGCGAAACGTTCAAGGAAATTTAGGTCTTCAGGTGTGGTATGCGTACTCCTTATGTGCACATGAAATCGCCGTCTGTATGATGTGGAAGAGTATTGGCATTCCGCCGCGGTGTGCTGCGCCGCGTGACCGTGTGCGGGTGTGTGCGCGCGCAGACCCTGTGGATCGGATGCGTGCGTGAGTGCAGCGACACACACCGCACGCGGTATGTGTCGCATGTGTGTTGTGGTGTGCTGTCGTGTGTGTGATGTGTGTGTGTGTGTGTCGCTGTGTGTGTGTGTGTAATGTGATCTCGTCGTGTGCTACAGTGTGTCGTTGTCTGTCGTGCGTAGCGTGCCGCTCGCCGTTCGCCTGTGGTTTATCATGCTACATGAATGACGCTTCTGATTTTCATGTTTCGCTAATTCGACCAGCCAGATGCGTGGAAAAGCTCATCGCCCGAAAGCACAGCAAACATATACACTGCGACCTATTGCACCGGTGTGCATCGGTGCTTCACAAGGACGCTGTGAAATGTCGTGAATTTTGATGTTTGATATTACCTTCTTGATCAAATACGACCAGGGCCGGAGCAAGGGCAGCTGCTCCCCTAGAATGGTTTTGAGCAGAATATAAAAATAAGCTTAGCGCGGTGATAATCGTATATAACCCTAACGTCTTTCTTCTTGCTCACTTATCCGTCCTTCATCCCTGACTCAGCTCACCTCTACCACCACTATGGACGTCGATCAGAGCTGCGCGTCGCGTCCATACATTAATCACACGGTTGAATCATAAAAATTTTTCCCCCTCCCCTAGCGACATTTGCCATTAGCGGCCTACGACCTACTGCACGATTGACCTACATCAGCGTGAAGCGTCACAGACAAAACACTAATCTACCGCAAGGGAGTTAGACCATGGTTTCTCCGGATAGGTGAGCGGTAGACCGCAAAAGAGAGCGTCGGTGATTGTGTTTCACGGTTTACATTGTTTAGTTAATCTTGCGAACTTATCTTTGCAGGCTGTGGGTATACACGGGCCGCTGCTAGTTACGTTCACCGCCTGTCTTGCTGTGCCACAGTAGTCAACCTAACCCTCAGGTATGACCGTGGAGAGAAAGAGACGAGACGAGAGGAGAGAGAAGGAGAGAGAAGAGAGAGAGGAGAGGAGAGAAGAGACGAGAGAAGTGAACGGGGTGGGCAGAAAATGGCGAAAGAGGAACGGAGGACGGCGAATGAGAGAGAGAGAGAGAGAGAGGAGAGAGAGAGAGAGAGAAGAGAGAGGGAGAGAAGGAAGAGAGAGGAGAGAGCAGCGCAGAGCGCGAGAGAAAGTATGCGAGAGAGAGGAGAGAGGAGGAGAGAAGAGAAGGAGAGAGAGAGGAGAGAGAGAGAAAGAGAGAGAAGAGAGAGAGAGAGTGTAGATCTGCGTGTGGCTAGTTTTGTATCTTACCGCAAATTAATAATAAAGGAATTCACTCGTGGACGTCACCGTTGCACGGCACTCGGCCGCGGGCGACGCGCCTGAGAGGCGGTCGCCCAGTACGAGGGTTCGAACGGCGGAGCGTTAAAAAAGGCGCCAGACGGCGCGCGGATCACCAGTGCCGTTCTCGAGCTAATCGATGACGTCGCGCACCGGATGGTGCATCCGGTCGCATCGCTACGGCGGGCGGTGTGTCAGCGAGAGGTCTGCCTGAGCGACGGCGACGCGACGCACGCGACGACGGCGCGCACGAGGTTGCCGACCGACGCGGACGGGCACGCAAACGACGCGCGCACGAGGTTGCCGACGACGCGGACGCACGCGCACGACGCGCGCCACGAGGTGCGACGGACGCGGACGCACGTGACGACGAGCGCACAACAGTTGCCCGACAACGCGAGGATCGGCCGACGTCGGCCCGGAAAGGATCCGGGGATCCGGAACGGAAACCGGAACTGGAGCAACCGTGCGCCCAGTTGTTATTTATGAATTTAAATAAAAAATGAACAGGGAATTTAATGAAATTATTGTTAGCAAGATATTGGTTTCACACTTGGTTTCATTGTTAAAAAAACATTAAACTTTAATTGATTTACAGATATTGATGTCAATTGTGACATTTACGACCATGAGATGAAAGTGAAGCTAGGATTTGAACACGGGTTTACCGGAGTTGTGTACAGCAGGAATCACTACAGCGATAGCTTATGCAGGGTGTCTGGAGATGGGTCAAAGTTCGTGAACTTTGACATCCCAATGGAAAAATGTGGAACAACCAACAAAGCAATGGTAAGCATAGTTAGAATGGGAAAACTCGATTTCAAAGTTGAAAATTAGAGTATTTACAGCTTTAGCACTGATGGGCACGAATTAGCATTCATTTGCTATGTGTAGCAATGCCATTGCTCATTTGGGGGGCTTTTTTTACTGCAGTCGGACACGGAATACGCATCACACAAAGCGGAAAATTTAATCATCATAATGAAGAAAGACTGGGGATTCTTGGACCGTTTCGACGAATCTTACTTAGTCAGATGCGAATTTATTGGAATGACGGCAAGAACCGTGTACTACGATCTCGCAGTCCCGTAAGTAGCCTCTTGTTCTAAGTACTTCCACAGAATACAAGCGAGCGCTCACATAATTTGTATAGATGCCCTTTATAGGTGAAATATAAAAAATAGGTATGGTAGAATAACTAATAACGCCTTTATATGACTCGTTCTCTTAGACTGTCGCCAGAAGTTTAAATTATCCCATGGCAGGCAGGTACGCTCGCTTGCTCACGCACGCGCGCACGTACGGACGCGTACACACAGACGCGCGCACACGTACGCACGTACGGCCGCGCACGTACAGACGCGCGCGCACACACGCACGCACGCACACACACGCAGGCACGCACGCACACACACACACACACTGCATGCTTGCGCGCGTGTGTATATTATCAAGAGTCCATAATAGAAAATGTAATTTTCTATTATGGACTCTTGATAATATCAGTCTGCTATCAAAATTTGTATATTATCAAAAGAGATCGTAAGTAGGATTATTGTTATAATTTAGAGCGCTTCGTTATTTTAGATTATCGCAAGAAGTTTCAACCTTGGAGACAGCTACTGTTGCACTGCCTTCCTGCTGGATGCAAATCGTCAAGGGCAAGGATCCACTGGACTACGGAACCAGCGAGTTGAATCTCGGAGGCACTGCTACCCTGGTTGTTTACCTGCAGGACAGTTGTAAGTCAATATTTAACACAGAATATATACTAAGTCTTGTTATCAGTAATTTCGTGCACTAGCGGCAGAAAATAGGCATTAACTAAAAATGGGAATCGATGCAACCATTATAGATAAAAAAAAAAGCCATTTCAAGTCCTGTTTGTTAAGCATAAATGAATTTCTGCTTCAGATTACTTCGACCTGAGTGTCAGCAACTGCTTCGCTTACGATCGTTACGACCATTACGGTGGGAAGCATACAACGGTTGACCTGATCAATGACGACGGGTATATATACTTACTTATATTTATGTTTTACCTATGATAATTGTGATGCATGTATAGCTGTCTATTACACAGCTTAAAACGCCTTCAATCATGTACCAATGGTATTATCGGAAATATATAATAATAAACGGAATTATTACTTAATTGCTCAAACATATGTACAATAATACAATTGTCATGTAAATAATGGTAAGGCCTTAAATGTAAATATTTTTTTAAACATCCATCATGCCAATCCATGACCACTTACAAGAATTACACGTATTTCCAGATGCTCAGCAAATAAAAAGTTGGTCGGAGAGCCAATCCACATGCACAAGTTGAGATCGGGCCAGACAGCATGGTTCTTCCACTTTAGAGCATTCCGGTTCCCGGACGAGGAAAACGTGTACTTCCAATGTCAATGTACCGTGTGTTACCAAAATTGTTATCAGGTGGGTTAGAAATGGCGATAGAGATAGATATAGAGATAGAGATAAAGATAGAGATAGAAATAGAGATAAAGATAGAGATAGAGATAGAGATAGAGATAGAGATAGAGATAGAGATAGATATAGCGATAGAGATAGAGATAGAGATAGAAATAGAGATAGAGATAGAGATAGAGATAGAAATAGAAATAGAGATATAGATAGAGATAGAGATAGAGATAGAAATAGAGATAGAGATAGCGATAGCGATAGAGATAGAGATAGAGATAGAGATAGAGATAGAGATAGAGATAGCGATAGCGTAGAGTAGAGATAGAGATAGAGATAGAGATAGAAAGCTAGCGATAGAGATAGCGATAGAGATAGAGATAGAGATAGAGATAGAGATAGATAGCTAGAGATAGCGATAGCGATAGAGATAGAGAT